ATGGGCAGCATGGTTGGTTTCCACTCAAGATTTTAGGATCATGTCATTCATGTAAACCTCTAGCATGTCCTCGATCTCACCACGAAATACTTTGTTCATCATCCGTTGGTATGTTTCCCCTGTGTTTTTTAGGCCGAAGGGCATTACGTTGTAGTAGTAATTGCCCGACCTGGTCATGAAGGTGGTGCAATGTTTGTCGCTTATCACCATGAGAATTTGATTATAGCCTGAGTAGGCGTCCATAAATGATAAAATTTTGTAGTCGACCAAGTTGTCGACCAACATGTCGATGTTAGGTAAAGGAAAAGCATCTTTAGGACATGCCCGATTGAGATCAGTATAGTCAACACACATACGTCATTTTCCATTATTTTTCTTAACAAGTACAACGTTTGAGAGTCAGGTTGAATACCGGTCCTCAAATAAAATTTGCCTCTAGGAGGTATTTTTTAGCTTTTCAAAAGCCTCTGCTCTTTCAAAAGACTGCCTACGCTTATGTTGTACTACTGCCCTAGCGGCTGGGTCCACAACAAGTTAGTGGTAGGCGACCTCATGGTCGAGTCCGGACATCTCCGCAGTGCTACACGCAAACAAGTCAGCATTCTCCTTCAAGCGGGCTTTGAGTTTCTTCCTCGCTAGGCCGGGGAGTCCAACACTGATCTTCACGCCTTTGTTTGGGTCTTCACCAAGGGGGATGAACTCGAAGTCTCTGTCTGGGACAAGCCAGAGAGGATCCTATTCGCCATTGGGGGCCTTGACTTCATCTTTTTCAAAGTGGATGTCGAGTGCAATGGAGTCGACCTTTGTTGGAGCCTATTGTTCTTCGACTCGAGCAGATTTGTCCAGTGAGATAGCCGCTATTATCAAGGTAGTTGCCTTTTTAGTAGGTCGTGCCCTAGTATGGACCATGTTTTTCCCTTTGGAAGCCGCGTTGAAACATCTCCTGGCATCTGAGATGTCTCCATGGATGGTGGCAACGCTGGCCCTCTTGGTGTAGAACTTCATCTTTAAATGCACCATGGAGAGTACAATGGTCAGCTCGGCCAGTGTTGGTCTCCCTAGGATGCAGTTGTAAAGAGACAGAAAATCGATCACTAGAAACCGCACTTTGACCTGTCAAGATGCAATTTCTTCCCTGAATATGACAAACAGCTCGACGTAGCCCCATGGCTTAGAGGCCAAACCGTTAAATCCTTGTAGGTCAGACTCCACATATGGTGACATGTGGGTATCGTCGAGTTGTAGGATGCGGAACAGGTGGGTGTACATGATGTCGACGGAACTCCCCTCGTCGACCAGGATGCGATGTACACTAATGTTGGCCATCTTCGTCCTCACCAGCAGAGGAATGCTGGAGTTAGGGGCTCCGTCGGGCAACTCCTCGAGATAGAAGGTGATTGGCTTAGATTTTCCCTTGAATCTTTCAAGGTTTACCGCATGGATTGGGGCTGCATCCACTAGCTCGTTGAGTTTCCTCTTCACTGAATTCACCAAAATATCAGTGAATCCCCTGCCAGATATGACCATGGCGAAGGGGAACTTCTCCCATCTGTTGTGGGTTAACAAAGGCTCGTCGTCTTCAAGACTGTCAGGGATGTGGAAGTCCTCGGGCCTTGATATGGAGAAGGCTACCTGGAGGGGACCAGACTCATCGGATGGTCGGGTATCCTCCCAAATTTCTTTAACCTCGCGGGTATCCCGGTGATGGGCGTCGTCGCACTTGTACTTCCTGAGTCTCCCTGCCTTGATGAGAGTCTTGATGGCATCCTTCAAGTGGACGTAGTCTTCGGTTAGGTGACTGTGGATTCAGTGGTATTGATAGTATTTTGTTCTGTCGACCCCGAGCTTTATAGGGGCGGGTCGAGGACACATGACCCCTCCATCCTTGAACTCAACATCGGAGTACTCTGCAAGGATATGCTTGCAGAAAGCGGTCAGCGGGGTGTACTCGTCGAACCTCCCGGTTGGTCCTCTGTGATCGTGGGGATCGTGAGGTTTCTACTCCCTTCTCTTTTACCTTGTTCGTCGAGAAGGGTCTACGTCACTGTATTGTGGGAAGTTAGTTGGTATGCGGTTCCTTGAATAGCGGGTGTTGTTGGTAGCCTCTTTTTCCTTGTAGTTTATGTACGCCTGGGCTTTTTCGAGGAGTGCGTTAAAATACCTGGGGGGGCTCAATGCCAACGACCTTTATAAACTCAGTGCCCGAGAGGAGTCCCCTCTCGAGCTAGTATCTCTTCATGTGATCGGCGCAGGGGACCTGAATGGCCTTGCGGTAGAACCGATCAACGTATTCTCTGAGGGTTTCATTGCTCCTCTAGACAATTGCCTCGAGGGTGGCCTCAGCCTTCGGGTCCCGACGAGATGCAGTGAAGCTGTTAATGAATTGGTTCTTCAAATTCCTCCACTAGGTGATCGATCCGGGGGATAGGTTCTTATACCAGTTCATGGTTGTTTTCCTTAGCGTCATGGGGAACAACCTGCACTTAATGGGGGCCCCGATGTTGTGATAGTGAAGCATGGCTTCAAAGCCGTCGATGTGGCCGGCAGGGTCAACAATGTCATTGTATTCCTTCATAAGAGGAGGCTTTTCCATCCCTTTAGGAATAGGGGCCTCCATGATGGCCTGGGACAACGGACTGAGGGGATCGTCTTCGCCGCTTCTTTCAGAGGAGCAAGGTGGGGATCGGTAGTAGCGGCGGTCTTTGTGTCGCTTTTGGTCCTGGGGAGGGTTCCTCAGCCAGGACTTCGTCTCTTCCTCGCCCCTATTTCTTTTACGTTATGGGGATCGTCTCTCCTTGCGCGGGGGTGTAGTCGCGTTTCTTGATAGCTCGGGCTGGTTCCTCTCTAATGCAGGACCTCGCCCAGTTCAGCAGGGAGGAGGGCTTTGAGAGTCTTCCCGTATGTGTCTCTGTGGGGGATATCAGGAGCGTTCCTCATTCCGGGGAGGAGGAGTTTGAGAATCAGGTCTTCGGTGCCTTTTAGGGAACCGACAAGTCTATTCCAGCATCATCAGGCGCTCACCCTGCACGAAGATTATGTAGTTTGTCTAGTTGATCTTTGTGAACAAGGCTCTGGTCATGACATCAACGTTTTCGGAAACGAGGATCTCTAATATGCGGTCGACTCATAATTTTATCGAGGTTGGTGGGCGTCGTCGCGTGGTTGGGAGTGGGTGGAGGAAGATGTGGTCATCCTGTCCCGGTTTTTGCTCGGGGGTGGCTACGTTGTTGTTGTCCGGGTTGTTATTCCCAATGTCGATGAAACAAACGTTTTATTTATTTTTGAAAGCTTGGTCGACCATGACAATCGGAAGATTGATAAAGAGTTGCTTTGGTCTTGAGCGAAATACGTGAAGCTGGATTCCCACAGACGGTGTCACTGATCGTACCTGATCAAAAGAGATTGTCAAGGCCCACAAGCTTCAAGTTGGGTAGTGGTTAGGTGTGAAGTGGGAGAGGGGTACTTGCAAGATACTCTGATGCCAAAGTAAGGTTCATAGTAAGTGCAAGTAGAATGTGAGAGTATGAATGAATGAATACCTGACCCTCTCAAGTGAGAGGATATTTATAGCCCTCAGCGTAGGGCCAAGGTCTTCAGTAATGGGCCACGATGAGGCCCAATAACGAAGTATGCCAGGGTTTACGGGTGTGTGGAGTCTAGTACGTGGCTTTCTCCCTGGTCAACTGCCCCGAGAAAGCAGGAAAGTTAGACCCGTTATTCTCGGAGGGCATGATGAAGACGTTATGGACACATGAGTCATGTTCTCCTAGTGAACACGTGGAGAAATGCCCAACGGTCCCCAGTTTGGGTTGTACGCATTTGGATCTTTGTAAAGGCGTTGGACTGGGCCTCCCTAACGGTGGGGCAAGTGTTGACCCAGTCCAGAACAACCTTAAATTGCAGTTTTTTATGCTCTCTTTGATATGATAAAACACTTGAAACTTGGTTTGGAAACGAAGAGTTAAATGAAAATGGTTGATGTTTTGTAGTAGGTTTTAGTTATGGGGAAAAATGAAGAGAATGAAATAGTTGTAGGGGTGATCATACAGCAAGCTGATATAACAACAATATTTTTAGATATGCATATCAGAAAATACTTCTGAATATTTAAATACAACATTCAAATAATAATAACGCATAAACATGAGTGTTTTCGGAAATGCATCTCCGAAACACCTTAAAAATTGACTTATGATACATTCATAGATACATCTCCGAAGAGTATTTTAAGATTTTCAAAAGTTTACTTCACCTATATAAAGGTGTATTAAGAGATTCTCTATCCCTTATACTATTATAAATTAGGCTCAAATGGATATCTTACCAAATCAATAAATGGTTTCTTGTTTTAAAATAGATGTAATAGTGTCTTTGTGCCTTGAACTCAAATTTATTGTCATTAGTGTTAACATGTGTCAGCAGAAGCTCTTTCTTTATCCATTGAATTAAAAATATATATATTTCAGATTACTCAAAACAAGTACAAAGTACAGCCTTTATATATACAGCAATGATGCGCAGTAAAAGAAGACCTAAAACTAAGTGGGTCTAAGTGGGCTTATTTGTAATGGGCCTAGGTATTTTAACAATTAGTTCAAAAAATAATAACGCGACCAACTATTAACTATTATATCAATTCTAATGTTTTTCCTCTTTTCTAAAATGGCTCAAAAGGTTACAATAATCATAGTATTTTCTTTTCTGACATACTAGGATGATATGATTCTTGAGACTGACTTGTAAAACCAGCACATGTTTCTTCTTTTTTCTCTTTTGGATTGAATAGAAATCTAAGGTTACTTGATGAAATGGCAAACAATAACTGTCATCAAAGGTAAGACTCATCATGTTTAAAAAAGAACGGAATTTGATTCATGAAAGTAGTACGCAGAACACACTTTTTTGTTGAAAATTAACACATATTATATAGACTATACTATACTATAAGATCTAAATGATCACTATGTATGAGCTAATATTTTTTATTCACATTGCCTGGCTCAAATTCTGTAATGTGTAAGAGCAGAAGTACCATCTAGTCCTTTTGCTTCAAAGTAGGCTACATATTCAGCAACTGTAATTTCTCTGTACTTGGGAGGATTGTCTTCTGATAAAAGTTCCTTCATAGGTCCATACAGCTTTGAGGATGACCTAACACCTGTGGAGAAAAAGCATGCAACAGATATTCTTGGACCGACACGATTGGCAAGTACTCTATGCTCTACACTCTTGAATCTGTCATTTGTTATAAGCTACAATTCAAAGTTCAAACAAACAAATAATCAGTGTTATGTATTCTTCATATGGAAATAAACACAAAAGAAAGCAGAAAACATGCCTGCAAAAGGTCTCCAACATTAACTATGAGAGCCCCAGGGAGAGGTTTTATATCAATCCATTTATCTTGATAAAGAACTTGAAGGCCACCAATATGATCTTGGAGAAGCACTGTGAGAAAATCATTGTCAGAATGCTTGGTTAATCCCATAGCCAATTCTGGTTGAGGACACGGTGGATAATAATGGCAAAGAGCAACTAGTCCTTCAGCACAATTCATGTCTTTTAGATGGTTCGGATTCAGTCCTAAAGCTTTTGACAACAATTCAAACAATAAAGTCCCAAGATTCATCATCTGTTTACCATATTCTAGCAGTATATCCCTACAATGCAACAATAAGTAGCCAATTAGAATGACAAAATGAGGATTAAGTAACACAAATTTTTTATAGAAATGCATACAACATACCTGCATACTATAGGAAAATCTTGTGGTTTGGGAGTTTCAGGATCTAAGTAACACTTAAAAGTATCAATCCAATTGAGTGCTGGTGAGCTATAAATATCAAAGTTGCTATTGTAAATAAATGATCTATTCTGATCTCTTGTATACAAATCTTTTTTGACTTCAATATCTTGTTCATGAAACCTGGTAACACCATCTTTTAACTCCTCAAGAACACTCAAAGGAATTCCATGATTAACAACCTGAAAAAAACCCCAAGTTTCACATGCTTCCTTGATTCTGTCAACAGTCCCTTGGTGAACACTTGGATCTTGTTTATTATCAATAACATCTACAAGGTCTATGACAGGAACAGCATGGTTTGTGTTGTTGGGTTTCTGATATATGTCAGGTTGATGATGGAATAAGCTTGGGATGTTGTTAATCCCAGCATCAACAAGTCCTTTAACACCAGCTTTTGTTTCATCAAATGCTTTGCGTTCATTTAATATTGAATCAATGTTAGGCTTGGAGGTATGAGTGGTTCCCATTTTCTCAATCTTTTCAGGAACTAGAAGATGAAACCATCTGATTAGGCGTGTCTATCATTCATCCTTACTGAAACCATCTGACGATAATATCAATTTTCCTTACTATGTGTGTGGTTGTAGATTTTTGAGTTAAAATATCTCTATCGAGAATGTGCAAAGCATCACAAGTAGAAGTATTTGTGGGACAAAAATTCAATAACAGTTAAATTCATGAATAACTAAATGTTGTTTTGAAGTTTAGAAAAAATTGCAACCGAAGAAATTATTATATCTAGTTGCCAAAATGATTTAATTTTATACTATTATTATTTATTCGGTAGATAATTGATTTAGAAATATTCATCTATAATATAATTGTCATTTTAAATAATTTCTCAGACAATAAAAAATTTAAATAATTCTCTAAAAAGAATTTAATAATGGTTGTTTAATCACTCTTAATAATTTCTAGAACAGAGAGAAATTCAAATAATTCTCCAAAGAGAATTCAATAATGATCGTTTGATCTGTCTAAATAATTTCTTGAATAAGGAGAAATTCAAAATAAAATTCAAGAAAATACTAAAAAAATTCAATGAGTAAAAGAAAAAAAGAAGTTGGCACAATGTAGAGTAAGGACAATAAGAAAGAAAAAAAAATTCTAAAGTAGTTTTTTTGGTGTGTTTTAGAATAAAACATGTGCATTTGTTATATAAAATAAGTTAATCAAACAATGTAATGGAAACAATGCGGGACTTAGATATTTTTTTGTCATATAATGATAAAAACTAACTATAGGTGCAAGTTAAGCAATGTGAAACATAAAGTTTTTTCAATTAACGCACACGGTTTTTTAACAAGGACTTAAGAATTTTTTTCAAATTCATCTCAATATTGAAATATTGACATGTTCCACCAATCCCCCACTTAAATTTAAAAAATATTTTAGAAGTAACATCTAACATTTCTAAGATTATACATAAACATGCGTGTCTACGACTTAAAACTTTGTGTGACAAGTAGGATTCTGATTCAATAAGAGTGACTCATTTTCTTGAACTATATCTCAAATATCAAACTTGCACACAACCTTTTCTTAAGGTGTATTCTAAAAGTCCGTGCTTTAATGGCCCTACACGTCTATCCTATTTTAGTGAAGTCTCTAAGAATTATGTCTCGAAATTCCATAAGAATCAACCTAAGTTCCACAATCACATTGGTGAATCTATCAAGAATACTCAAGTAGCTAGGTATTCGACTCATAGAAAGTATAAATCTCATTAAAATTATCTACTATCTCATCCTCTTATCGCTTCATGATTCATGCTTCTATTACTTATACTAGCATCATCATCACATATTACTCACAACTTGTTATTATCCATTGAACCTAAATCTTAGAGTCTCATATCTTTTAGTTTAGGTTACCATCATGAGCAACTAATTTATCTATAGGAGTTAGTCTCATCCTATTGGATGTATTATGAACTTTCTCTTTAGCTAACAATGTTATGAATTCTACTTACTTGGCATCTCTTATCATAATAATAGTTGTAATACGGTGGGAGAACTGACTTGGGTGTTTTGCGTTTCATCGCAAACATTGCAGATAGCAAGAGTCGCCAATGAATTTTATTTTATCCAATAAAGAAAGGGTGAAAAGAACGGGAAAGACCTTTTGGGAATTTTCTTGAGTTCAGAGAGTAGATTATGAAAAGGGAATGTGTTAGCACCCTTTTCATCTGTAGTTATTTACGGGCTCTTAGTTGCTAGCTCACTTTGAAATGCTTTATTTGAAATGTGTTTGTGATGGTTTGAAAGTATTTTTTTTTAAAAGTGCCTTCGTTTAGGCGAACTTTGTAATGATTTTCGTCTCTACAAGAATGTATACAAAGTGTTGACTTTTGAAAAATATTTCACGGAAAGTGTTGGTGTTTTTGAAAGATGTTTTGAAATGTTGTGAGCAAGCAACTATGAACGTTCTACCTACTCAAAAAGTCTTTGTTTTTCCTCCTCCTTTAGATAGCGTTATCTTACCATTAATTAGTAAGAAACCATATCATTGGATGTGAAGGAACAAGCGTGGGTCGTCGTACAGTCATAGAAGGCAACATTGTAGGATACCTTAGCAATTTGTCGTAAGGGTCTGAGATCATTTATCGAAGGCAACATTGAAGGTTCATCGAGGGACTATGATCTTGTATTCGAGGGTCATTGCTAAAATATCCCACGTTCGAGGGACATGATTGTTTTTATCTGAGGTAACAAGTATGGGTTAACCCTAGAGGTGCAAGTGTACAAAGTGTTTTGATTTCATGCATTTTTTGTGTTTGAATTAAAGTTTTCTATTTGTTGATTTTATATCTTGCTATACAAACCCTAATTACTAGCAATTATATTGAAATCGGTAAATTGTGGTAATTTAAAGTTCTATGCTATTACAATCATTTGAGAGATGAGGATACAATTGAAAAATGAGGAATGAAAGCAATTAAATCCTAATTTACTATTACAACCATATTAAATATTGCAAGAATAAAATGTACAAGAATGTATATACAAAGAAAAGGAAATTGTTTTTTATTTGTTTTTTTTTATGAAAAGTTTTAACCTAATTAAACTAATATAAAGAGAGAAAATAATTAATTAAAATTCCTAATTTTTAAATGAATTAAAAAAGAAGTTAAAATAAAAATTAAATCTATATTAAATTAAGAAAAAGAAAAGAAATTTATTGAGGAGATTATTTTTTGATCTTTTGTTTTAAAAGAAATATATAAATATATAAATAATAAATATAAAATATTTTTGGTATTTTTAATTAATGAAAATAATAATAAAATAATAATAATAATAATAAAAATAAAATAAAATAAAAATATAAAATTAAATCAGGGGGTGTGAAGATGAAAAGAGATGTAAGTGTGTAATAAAGGTTTGTTTTGTGTTAGGCCCAAGAGTTTTTTTTTTGTAATCAGAATAAACAAAAATAATATAAAAAAATGGACTTTGTGTCGTAAATTAATGGGGGTGATGAGAAATTAAAATGACAAGGCCCGGGAAGGAAGCCCAACGCGCTATCTGGTTCAAACAAAAAATGAGATGGAAAAAATATGAAAAAATTACAAAAGGTCTCGCTGGGGTTCGAACTCAGAACTTTCTATAATAATTCCTTACGTACGCGCTTGCTGTCACTGGGGTGGCATGTTTCATCCGTTAGTAAACCATGTTGCAATAAACTTAAAATAAAATGTGTTCATAGCTTCACTTCATCTTCAACCTCGCGCCATAAACAAACAACCAATTTGAATCATGTAACTTCTTCATCTCTCAATCATTTACAAAAATGTAAACAACAAACTTGTCCCAAATTTCATCACGATTTCATAAATGTAAATCACTTAAGCTATAAATCTAAGATGAGCATGAATTTGTAATGGTACCAAATCTTGACCTAATTTTTTCAGAAAGTTCAAACCTAAAATTCTCACTACTCAAGCAATAAAAGGAATTCTAAGGACATGGTCAGCTTCGGGACTATGATGTCTACATTTTATCTTTGAAAATGAAAAGCTAACAATGCCTATATGAAAAGTTCAAAAATCAGAAAATATACATTTGCTATCATATTTTTCGGTGTATTATTTGCTATCATATTTTTCGGTATATTTTATGCTATTATTTTTTAAATAATACATTTCGTATAATATATTTCATACTATATTTTCAAATAACTTACAAATTGTTCTTCATCCATATGAAGTATTGACATAATTTTCATACGTCATGAAATAAGTTCACTATCAAATACAAAAGTTGATACTTGGCATGAAAAGGTTGGGAAGAGATTTGAAAGGTTAACAAATAAAGCACAACAATAAAAACAAAAGGTTTCAATGCACATAAATTAACATGTTTTACACCTCAAACACACATTAAAATTATTGTGTAACAAGACTAGAAGAAAATTTGTTGAAGAAGAAACATAAAAGGTAATAAAAAGATGAAAACTAACAAATAGAACTTGAACACGAATAAGGCAACCATAACCTATAAGAATGCCTGTGGAGAGAGAAAGAGTGGTGGCAGACAGGTAGAGTAGCAGTTTGGTGAGAGAAAGTTTTTATGGCTTATGGTTTTATTTTTTATGTTTAAAGTTTGGTTCTGACTACATATTTTGTTCAAAGAAAGGAAGTGTAAAAAATGGAGATGTGTTGGACCGATACAAATTTTGGGCTTAATAATGATTTAAATAAAATATTAAGTAGTGTTCTTGTGAAAAACACTAAACGAGTGGCTTCCTTGTAGGAACAAGGAGAGCCTCAATGGATAGATTTCTGTAGTATTTATGGGAATTTGGGTGCTACATTGATGATGTGTCTTGACTTAAGATGAATGTCTTGCTTATCCTTCTAGCAGGAGCCCATTTATATAATCTTCCTTTTGCGTCATTAAGAGCCTAATTCAATATGTGACTCTTTGGCTTCTTAACTGCATAATTGTTGTTGTCACCATGAATGAGTCTGTTCAAGACTGCGTAACACTGGGTTTAATACGCTGATAACTGTTACAGTCATTAATGGGTCAGATTACTAGTTGACTCTAAGCAAATGGACTTTGGTTACATGCAATATCTGGGTTGGTAGCATAGATGGGTTGGTGCCCGGATATAATGAATTTCGTTCTTCACCCTCAATCGTGTTACACCTCGTCCCGAGTATTCTTCGTCTTTACGGGCCAGGCACTCGCTTTGTTCCATTCCCAGACGACTTCATGACCCGGTCAAGGCTAATATTTCTGGGATTTACATAAGCCCCCCGAGTATAAATCCTTTTATAAGAATGCAGTGTTCAGTCACAGAAAGCACGTGATGTATTAAGATCTGGATCGGGTTATAACTCGACCTCACCTTTGTGCACGTGCCATAGACTGAAAAGTTACGTATCTTCTCTCTCATAGTGCAATGATGACTTTTTATTGGGACTCTATTTATTGGGTGACGTTTCTTTCCCAAATGCATTGTTCATTGGACCCCTATTTAAACCTTATTTCAATCTTTCCTTTTTCATCTCAACATTTTAGCAACGTTTCATTTCCAGGAAAGCTTACACATTACCCAAATGTTTCATCATTTCCAAGTATTTTCCTTTTCTTTCTTCGTCTTATTTTTGCTTTTTTTTTTCTTTGTCTTTATTTTTAGAGAATGATTATCATGAGAGAATGTGATGATGAGGGAAATATTGTGAAACCCGCAAATGCTGAGGAAAGAAATTAGTTGTGGAACCAATGCATGCGGGAGTTTAAGGGTGCCCTATGTCAGGAGGAGTTTGATCGAATCAAAAGATAAGTTTACGGTTGTGCCTTCGCCTCTTTGAGTGATTCTGACTCCGATTCTTCCTCTTCAGGTTCTGAAGAAATTTTGATGGAAACGTCAGCCCATTTTGACCTCGAAGTTATGGGCTACAAGAATAACTCGCTTGGAGATGAAGAGATCGCCAAACTCTAGTCTCTGATAAATTTTTCATCGACCAGGGATGAAGATGATGTCATCCTGGAGTCTTGTGCCCCCGGAGAATGGGTATGTATAATTCGCCCGAAGGGTTCTGATGAGGAGTTCTTCTATTTCTATGATGGGGTTTTACAGGATTTCAAGGTTTGTATACCCTTTTCTTATTTTGAGGTGGACACACTAAAGACCATGAATGTCGCTCCTTCTCAGCTTCGCCCTAATAGTTAGGGTTTCATAAAAGCTTTTGAGATAGTTTGTGAGGCAATGAATATTGTCCCTACAGTAGGTCTGTTATTTTCCTTCTTTGAGGTAAAATGGGCCAAGAAGTGTTCCTGGATCCAAATTAGTGGTCTTCCCCACAAGAGTTTTCTCCAAGTATACACCTCAAACTATAAGGGTTTCAAAGACCGGTTCTTGAGGGGTAAGTGTGGGTCGAGATGCCCCCAGGTATTGTATGCTTTGGACGGCCATTTGTGTTTTCCTCACTACTGGACTCGGGATCCTTCACCCATCTCCAATTTTAACCATGAAAAGATAAGAAGTTTGGAGATCCAAGCTCTGACCGTATTTGACTCTTTTCGAATGATGAAGGTTAAAGATTTGTTGTCCTTAACTGTCAAATAGGTGTGTTTTTTTTACTTTCTTCTATAATTTAACTTTTAAGCTCCACCTCTTTATAAAGGACTTAAATTTCAATTCCACTGTCATTCTTTTAATCTTATTTTGTATTTTAGTTTTTTTATCTTTATCATTTGTTTAATTACATTAAAAAACTTGTGCTTTAATAAATTGTTAATAACTACCATGAAACAAAAGCACCTCTATAGCAAACAAATATATTATTTTGATAGAATTTAATCAGACATAGTAAAATTTGTTATTAAACAAATCTATATTAGACACTTCTATATATTGAAATAAAATTTTAATTTTTTAAAATACTAAATTATTCTACCTATTTAGTGATGTTTTTATAACTCATCAACATTAATAGGTATTGCTTATTAAAAAAAACATTAGTAAGTATTTCATTATGTGATACTAGTAGAGAAAAACAGTTCATAGAACCATTTGCCCAAATAAAAACTACCCAAATATTTTCACAAAAAATGAACAAAGTAATACAATTCATGAATTATCAAGTGAAGATCTCAAACTAGTATAAATTGATCACAAAAGTTTAAACAGAAGAATAAACACATAAAACATAAACAAAAAGTTAAAAAATGGAGGAACATCATGTTTCTTCCCTTCACTGCATGGAGTATTGCTTCCACTATAACACCCTTTTTTCTGTTTGATCCCGGCACCGCGATTTTCAAGCACAAATGTAGCGTTAGCTTTTCCATTACCAAACAAAACACACCAAAAGAAAGGTCCTTTATGAGCTCCAACAAGGCCTACTCCAACCTCAGAATGTGTTTTGTTTCTCAGAAGAGACACAGATTTCTTATCTTTAACGAGGATTCGAGAAAATGCTAGTGATGGTTCAAGGTAGTTTTTTTGACAGCCAACAATGTGGCCAGTTATGGTACCGAAAGTTGGTAACTCTACGCCGCAATTTGGGGCAAAGACTTCGGTGAAATCGTCTTCGGGAGGTTTGCAGTTTACGACGTTGTTGTCAGTGCAGTTTCCTTTGCATAATTCAATATATTGTAAGGCCATGCATCCTAAACCAGGTGTGTCAATCAAGTTAGGGAGCTTTTGATCTGTTCTATTCTTGTTTATAATGTCGACGATCTCGCTTGCAGGGTTTCCTGTTGGATAGAAAGAACACATAACCAGCTGGTATTAGAGATATATACATGAATGGAATTCAATCTTTATTTCAAACACAAGGTTGAGGACCAATTCGAGTTTTCGGAGTTCATAGCCTGCCAAATTCTCTCAAAACTAATGATACAAGGTTAGGCACATTTTCAACCAAAACTTATATATGCTGTTGTGAAATGAAAGAGTAAACTTTGTTAGAGCAAGTTTTAAGATATCTTGCTTAAACAAATGAAAGAACAAAGGGCTAAAAGTATCTTAGAAAAAAATTGTACATAATAAAAGTGTTGCCTCTAATCCTTGATCAAGCAGTTAAAAAAAGTATTGTCCTACTTGGATAAACAATTTATTTAATTAAGCGCTTATCAAATAAGTTCTAATATATAAACCATTTCTATAACATAAAATAGAGCTAAACTCTTTTCATTTAAACTATAAGATGCTTTCATTAATCATAAATGGTGGATGGTCCGATAGCAGAAACCTGATAACCTGATAACTTATGGTACAACGAAACCTTGTACTCTCATACTATGTTAGAAATTGTGATTGAGTCTTACTCAACTTTACAAAACTGATTTGCAAGGTAAGGACTCCTCCCACTTATAAACATATGTTTGAGCCATATATTATTTGATTTGAGACTCTTTAACTGTTACTATGGAGAACATGTAGAATTAAGCTAAAAATAAACTTATTGATTTCTCGTTAATTGTTTTTATAAGCCATTTCAAACAACCTCCGAAATGCTTACGCTACTAGATAAGTATAAATAAGCTACTCTAAAGAGTTTATGCTTGTTATACATACAAAGAAATCTCTGAAACATGGAAGAATATGCCAATGTAGACTATTGCTCTAAAATTTCAATAGATAGCACAAACAGAAAACTTCCAATTTCCAAAAGCTACAATATATTGAGAATGCTCTAAAGTTTTGGGGATTTGATTACAAGTTTCACTCTTAAAGCTCTTATTTTATCTGCATACCACCAAATAGTAGAAAGAAAGTAACACTCTTAAAGTATAGAGATCCAAAAAAAGATTCAAACTTTCAAAGCCCTTTCAAGAGAATCAGAATTCAGGGAATATTCAACATAAGCATATATATAATAATGGAAAAAAAGATAGAAAGAAGAAAAGAATGTAAGTTTACCATGTGTGTGGGAGAAGACAAGAGGTGGCAAGAAGAGACCAAAGAGAAAGTGAAAGACAAAGAAGGTGAAGTTGATTTTCATGATGTTAACGAGAAGGAGTATTTGGTTTCCAACAAAGACAAGGATGAAGAGGAAAAAGGGTTTTGATGAGTGAAGTGAATAAGGTGATGTGTTTACACTTTACAGTACAAAAGTATGGGACCAATGTGGTCCCTATGTAGCCGTTATCATCTCTGTCTTTCATATTTCCTATAAGTTTTCTTAAGTTTTATAGGAAATATTTTTGTTTTTTTTTCCAACAAAAAGTACTTTTTCGAATGGCTTAAAAGGACTTATATTAATTAATTAAAACAAATAAATGGGTCCTGTTTTCATGGAAGGTTGTGAACATGGATTGGAGGTGAAGATTTTCAGCTAGCTGAGAATAAAATGTCAAGCTTTTTTCAAACTTTGGGAAATGAAAATGTTAATTTCAAAATTTATTTTGGTTCTTTAATTTAAAAAGGGTTTATATTTATCTTTTAATTTTAAATTTTTAAATTTTTTTTTTTAGATTTATTTATCTAATTAGTTATAAATTTAGTGATTTCTAAATTTTTTTCATATTTAATTAGATAAAAAACTAAAATAAGATATTTTAAAAATTAAAAATTAATATAAATTATTTCTATTTTTAATATAATAAAATAATATACTATTAAAAATATCTAATTAACTTAATTAGTTTAACAGCCTTATTTTGTAACTTTAAATATAATTTTATTCTAATAATCTCTATAATTATTAGTATTTTAACGTATTGAAAATTAATGGTCTCATTATAAAATTATAATAATATATGTGTTAATTAATTATATATTTAAACAAAATTTAATATGATATTTATTAATTAAAAAGTAAATATCATCTCTACTCTTTTATATAAGAGACGGTTTATTTTTTAAATTATAATTAACGTATCTAATCTACAAATCAATTAAATATATTAATTATTTAATGAATTTAAAAAAAATGTAATATAAAAGAGAGAAAATTAACAAATATATGTTTAAAAAACAGTGTGTGAATAAATAGAGAATTTATATTGAAAGTTAGTAAAAAAAATTATAAAAAATTAATAAAATATATCATTGATATTATAAAATTAACAATAATAATATTATCAATATCCAAGAATTGATTGACTGAGAAAAATAAATATAAGAGGAAAAAAATGGCCATATGATCTTGAAAGTTAATTTATATTTTTTCTTTTTTTAAAGTAAAAAAAAATTATTTTCTAAAAATATTTTAAAACTTTAAGTTATATATTTTATTGTTAAGTTTTGAAGATGCTATTAAAAAGAAAACAAAATAATTTATATTAAATAGTTATTTGAAACGTTGGATTAGTTTTTTTACCATTGAAAACATAGTCATTTGGAACATGGAGTTTGTCAAATGGTATTTGTTATGGTTAATAATTTATAAAGCTAAATATTCAATGTTGTCAAATTAATTAATTACTCAAATTTTGTTATAGTTAATAATTATTATAAAGTTAAATACTCAATGTATTTAAATTAATTAATTACTCAAATTAATTAAAAATGATAAAGAGACATAATAAAATTAATGAACTAATATTTTTTAAATTTAAATTAAAATAAATTAATATTGATAATTATTAAATTAACTTTAATTTTGTCTCTAAATTTTTTTAATAGATTTAACAAATTTAATTAATAAAATTTCATCATTTTTTTTATATTTTAAAATTAATTTATAACTTTCCAATATAGCTTATTCTCATAATTATCTCCCCCGTTTATCTTACTTACGTCTCTCACTATTTCCAAGACATTGAAAATAGTTAACCAAATTTTCCTTTCCATTTTTATTCTTTTCTTTTCTTGCTTCTCCATTATGCACTTCCTCTGCACTTCCTCTTCATATACCAGTTTATTCTATCACCCTTTAAACACTTACTCTTCATTTATCTACAGTCGCCACTGTTTTCTAAAATCCTAGATAATGATATTGTTTCTCATTTCTCTAGTTGGAAATCTATCAAATATCTATGATAAATTTCTATCAATCTTGATGAACAAGATTGATATCACCACATAATGACAATGAATTATGACAAAAGAAAAGAAAGAAGACGATTATTTTTTGCAGAGTTTCTCTCTGCCCACAAATTGTGGAAAACTTTATTAATCACTTGCAACTGCAAATTCTGTGATTACAATGAATTGACTTAATTACAAAATTAGGAGTTACTCTCTCTATATATAGATTTAGATTAGCCAAAGCTTAAAACTATAAGAGCCCAAAATACTTATTTTGGTACTAAATCAAATCTATCTATTTTAGATATAAATCTAAAATCAATCAAATTTGTGTGTAGTTTGCTTCGATCCACAAGTTCTTCGACTGAGCAACCTCCCTTCGACACACACACTGTTTCGACACAATCAAATTACAAGTTAACACACCACCTAATTCATTGTGTCTAAACTATCTATATTCATCATGGTTCTTAGTTTTCTGAATACTTCGACATGCACTTTCTTCGTCATGATGTCTGCAATCTGATTCTCAGTTCTACAGTGTTCCAAATTCATCTTCACATCTGCTACCTGCTCTCGAAGATAGTGGAACCTCATTTCGATGTGCTTGCTTCGATCATCTGCTATTGGGTCCTTCGCCAGATTGATAACTGACATGCTGTCGATCTTCATGGTAATTGCTTCATGATCTTTCCCTGTTATCTCTTCGACCAAGTTCACCATCCAAGTTGCTTGACATGCACAAAGAAAAGCAACTATGTATTCTGCTTCACATGATGATAATGTCACTACCGGTTCCTTTCTTGAACTCCAAGCAACTGGTGCACCACCTAACATAAACACATATCTTGCTGTTGATTTTCGATCTTCAACATCACTACACCAACTCGAATCAGTGTATCACGCTAACTTGTATTCTTTTCCTTTATCAGTTGTAGGAAATAAAATGCCATAGTCGAGAGTTCCTTTGAGATACCTTAGTATCCTCTTCACCGCTGCTAGATGTGATACCTTTGGCTTCTACATTAATCTACTTACCAACCTACATTATATGCTAAGTCATACCTTGTATGACAAATGTATCTTAATGACCCAATAAGTCTTCTGTATTGGGTTGGGTCGACATCATCTTTATCTGCATCTTTTGACAGTTGCAGTCTTGGTTCTGCAGGTGTCTAAGTTGAGTTGCATTCTTCCATCTCAAATCTCTTGAGAACTTCTCCCGCATATCTTATTTAATGCATCGTCAAACCTCTACTGCTCTTATAAAATTCGATGCCAAGGAAATATGAAATCTCACCCAGATCAAACATTTCAAGTTCCTTGCTGAGATCACCTTTGAAGTTTTCGATCTCACTTTTACAGCTACCTGTTATCAACAAATCATCGATATAAAGACATAGTATAAGCAATTCACTATTTCTTATTCTTACATATACCCATGTTCAGTTGTGCACTTCACAAATTCTTTCTCCCTTAGGAAACTATCAATTTTCTTATTCCAAGCTCTTGGAGCTTGTTTCAATCCATACAAGGCTTTATGCAGTATGTACACATTTCTCTCTTCGTTATGTTTCACAAACCCAATTGGTTGTTTAACATAAATGTTTTCATCTAAGGGTCCATTCAGGAATGCACACTTCACGCCCATCTGACATATGTGCCATATGTTTATTTCTGCTAGACCAACAACCAACCCGATTGTTTTAATCCTAGCAACAAGTGTAAAAACTTCATCGAAGTCCATTCCTTCTTTCTGTAGAAATCCTTTCGCCACAATTCTTGCTTTGTGTCGAGTTATTTCCCCTTTGGAATTCATTTTCACTTTGTATACCCACTTGACATTAATTTCCTTCTTGGCTTGAGGCAATTCGACAAGTGACCAAGTGTTGTTGTCTTCGATAGACTTCACTTCTCTGTTCATTGCTTTCACCCCCTTTGAATCCTTCAATGCTTTAGCTGCATTGACAGGTTCGACATCTGCATAGAAAGCATAATTTACTAACTCACCTTCATTATCTATCACATCATCTGATGTAATCACACAATCTTACAATCTTGTAGGCATGCGTCTTGTTCTTTGAGGTCTTCTTGTACTTGGTTGATCTATGACTGCTGGTTCCTCTTGTTGAACTTCTCTTTTAACTTGAGTTTTTGGTTCTTCAAGTAGGATCCCACTGAATGTTTCTTGACATTTTCAGTCCAATCCCATTCTTTAAGCTCATCTATGATCACGTCCCTGCTGATCACAATCTGCTTGTTCACTAGGTCGAACAACTTGTAACCTCCTGTCAAATGATATCCAACTGAAATCATTTGACTCGACTTGTCATAAAGTTTTCTTCTCAAATGGTCTGGCACATGTCTATGTGCAATAGATCCAAATACCTTCAGATGACTCAAGCTAGGCTTCACACCAGACCAACATTCTTCTGGAGTAATTCCTTCTAGCTTCTTCGTAGGACATTTGTTCAAAATGTATGTTGCAGTCGACACAGCTTCACCCCAAAACTCTTTAGGTAAATTATTTCCTTTCAACATATTTCTCACCATATTCATGATGGTTCAATTCTTCCTTTCCGCGGTTCCATTATGCTGTGGATTATAGGGTGACACCATCTCATGCATAATCCCTTCATTCTCACATAACCTGTCAAAGTCTTTCTACACATACTCTCCACCATCATCAGTTTTCAAAACTTTGATTTTTCGACCACTTTGTCTTTCGACCATAGACTTAAACTTGGCAAATACCTCGATCACTTCACTTTTCTTCTTGATCAGGTAAGTCCACAACTTTCGACTAAAATCATCTATGAATGTAACAAAGTATTTGTTACCTCCCATCAAATCCACCTGGATTGGTCCATATATATCAGAGTATATAACTTCAAGAATAACCTTCGACCTACTCTTGCATCCTTGTTGATGCTATTCTTATGCTTTTTCGCCCGCACACATTTCTCACATACCTCATTTGGAATGTTGATTTCTAGCAATTCTGAAACCATATTTCTTCTCTTCAAATAT